ATGCTAATTCCAATAACTTATAAAAAGAATCACAGCATGCCTTAGTAGGGCTTAATTTAGTAATTCAAGGAGATTTAATCGTACAAGGACTATTATTCTAACTCATTAAGGTTAAAAAAGAAAATCCATATTTTAGTAACTTTATATATATAGGAAATTATTTGACCCATTTACTGTCAAGTCTTGATTCAAATGAAAACTCGTGCTGTTTTTGTTTTGTTTTTACTATTTATATATTCTATCGTATTAAATGAAGTGAATGTGTTATCATTGCCAGGTCTAATGAAGATAGAAAATGATTATTATAAGTACTCAACCTAATGGATTAGTTAATTTGCATGTCCTTTTCTTTGTAGGCTTTTGTAAATTTTTTCATGAAGGCAAAAGCCCAAAACTGGCTCGATTGTAAGTTTTTGCTTGTTAGCTTTGTTCCCTTCTGTCCTTATAAATGCATTTCTCTTAACTTTTGCTTATATCGAGAGCTAAAGTATAATATTAACATTTGAATCACTATCTCAGAGATATTATAGAAGCATTTAATGAAGAATCACATGAGTAGATACTTATATGTTCATGTTCTATGAAAATATCCTGAAAGCAATAATCAAAAGGAATGCTCACACCTCAGGTCTAAGAATTGGACATGACTCAAACTTCTGTTAACTGTGTATATTTTCTTTTTGTCAGTCTTTCTTTAATCTACCGTGGCTTCTTGATGTAATTTTACTAAGATTAAGGTTAAACACTTTAAAATTATATAATAAAGTACTGGAGACTGTATGACAGCCACCAATCAATGAGTAAGTGAAATTTTGTTCCAAAATAGAAATAAAAAACTATAAAATACACAAAAATAAACAATATAAAATTTCTAAGACATATACAGTAGCTTTTAGAAAAATGATAACTCATATGGCAATGTTGATGGCTCAAAACACTCATCATGGTAAATACAACAATGCTCAAATTAACTGTAGACATAATGGTATTTCAATCAAAATTTTAATAGCAGTTGTTTGGAAACTGACCTTAATTCTAAGAGTTCATAGAGGAAAAATGTGTTTGAGAAAAACGTAGAAAAAAAATCTAAGATTACTTGCCAATACATCCTGAAAATATTCTGAAAGTATAATGCTCTATTTTATTAGCAAAAATAAAAATGTATGAGCATTTTAATGAAACAAATTTAAAAATTCATAGACTAAATTATAAAATAAACCAGAACATAAGATAATATTTCAAATCAATGGAAAAGGTAGATTATTCAATAGAATCTGGAGCAACTGGCAAAATATTTGTAAAGAAAAAATACATCTAACTCACTATATTATATAATATACAAAGTAATTCCATATGTATTATTGCTTAGAAGCATGACAGTGAAAGAAGAAAAAGAAATTATTCATGTATATGGTTAAACAATAGAAAATTGTGCACATTAAAATGCCATAAATACAAGTCAAAAGCAAGATAATGGACACAATACTTGAAATATGTATAACAGACAAAAGGTAGATATCCTTAATATGTCCACAGTAAGGTAAAGATTAATAGACCAATTGAGAGAAAAAAACAAATTACTAAGGACAGCTAATTAAACAAGAAATATAAATGGGGTGATATTGATCAGATGTATTGTACTCATAAACTGACCTGTTGAATTGAAACCCCTTTGTACAAATACTTAAAGATAATAAAATATAAAACAAATGGCCATAAATAAAATCAAATATTGCCATTTGTAGTGAGAAGGAAAATTTAGTCTAATATTAATGGGTTATTGGATTATTTTAAACTTGTAAAAATGTTATGATTTAATATCTATATTCTTATGCTCTCTAAATTAACATTTTATTCCTGTTTGTTTTTGCAGTGTCATGGTTTAGAAGGGTCTTGCCCTCATTTTTCTCTGAGGAAGACCGGTATTTTTGGTCTAGAAATCGATTTTGTGCAATAGCCTGTACTGAACTGGGCCACGGGAAATGCGAGGGATGGCTTTGGAAAAAGAGAGAATCTAGAGGAATCTCCCTTTTTAGTTGGAAAAAATACTGGTTTATTTTGAAACACTCAACTCTCTTCTGGTTCTCACACCTGAATGTAAGTGCATCAAGAAGGAAAGAAAGTATATCTCTGAGAGAGAATAGTCTTTAATCTGTATTGGTAATGGGGATGTGAATTTCTGGCAAATAAAAGGAAACTCCTAACATCTAATGTTAGGAAATAGTTCACTGATGTCATTTCTTGCTAAAAAATATAATATCTATGAGAAATATTGTAATTAATGGTTTTGATACTAAAAACTACCTAGATTTAATCCTGACTCTTTTACTTATTAGCTTCAAGAAATTTGGCACGTTGCTTAATTTCTCTGAGACTTGTTTTCTTTATTTTCTCAAAGCAAGTAATAATACTTGCCAAATATTTACATCCCTCTTTTTCTTATATGTTGCTCTTCTCTCTCCCAACTAAATCTATCTCATAGACTTTTAAATGTTTTGAAATATTTCCTTTAATAAAGAAGTGAGACGACTTACATGCCTTTCATTGATTTTGAAAACAAATTCAAAACAATTTTTTTAATTGTTTTGTAGGGACGCAGTGACTGGGCTGTATCTGTGGCTTTGATTTCTGTGTACAAAAGTCACACACATTTATATCTAGACCCAAAAGTTCTCTTGTAAGATTCAGAATTATAAATTCCACTTGATCTCTCAACTGAAATGTCTCGAGTACCCCTATTCAACATGTACCAAACATAATTAGTGATCTTGACATCTTCAAAATGCTGCTTCTTGGGCTGGGAAGGTGGCTCAGTGGTTGAGTGCTTGCCTTGCATGCATGAGGCCCTGGGTTCAATTCCTCAGCAGCACATAAGCAGAAAAAGCCGGAAGTGGTGCTATGGCTCAAGTGGTAGAGCTGAAGAGCTGAGAGACGGAGCCCAGGCCCAGAGTTCAGGCCCCACGACAGACAAAAAAAAATGCTGTTTGTTTCCTATAACTTTCTCCTATAGAGTAATCCTCTAGCCTTCTACTACTCTTTCATGTTCTATAATTATCCATATCTATGCTAACAAACATTATCTTCTAAATATCTATCAAATTCTTCAATTTTTCTCCATTGCCACTACCTAGTCCAAGAAAACATCACCTGTAATCTGAATAAGTTTGATAGACCTACCTTGCTGCTCACATTCACTTTGGACTCTCACTGATTTGCTTTACCACTCACATCAAGGGTTATCTTTCTAAATGCAAGTTTGATCATATCCTTACTACCCTAACTCATCCCACTTTCCTATCAGAACTATCAGACCTTGTATATATTCCGTACCTCTATAGTCACATCTTATATGGATTTTACATTCCAGCTATGTTGGCTTTCTTTTATTTTCTCCATCCATCCATCCATCCACAGGACCTTTGTATCTGCTCTTCTTTCTTCCTGTAATACTCCATGAGTCTGCTGCTTGATTAACTCCCCATCTTCTTTTGGCTTTCACACATCACTTCTTTAGAAAATCTTCTGTGATCCCCTTCCACCAGCTCAATTAATTCTTCTATTACTCTTCTATTACAGCATTTAACAAACTGGTCATTTTGCTTTTAAGTTTATGACTTTTATATTAATATCTGTCTCCTCATGGATCATAAGCTTCTACAAATAATACCTTTGCCTCCCACTTCTGTCACCCTTACCACTTCCTACATGTGACACAATGAATTTGCTCAATGGATATTATATGAATTAATAATAATAGCTGTAATAAATAAATTAATGTGTCTAAATATTTGTACACAGTATGTCATAAAAGCCTGCAATTAATTACTTCCCATCAAATCTTTTTTTCTCTTTACTACAATAATGTGAAAATGCTCCATTTGAAGTATAGAAAATGTTCCACTTCAAATGTGAAAGTTTTCAAAGAGCAATTATGAAATACTGTTTTCAAACCTCACAAAATGACTATCATGCATGATATCCTTGTCCAAATGAAACAAAAAATAGTAAATTCTCTCAACCATATTTCCAGTCCATTTTAAGAATATTCCTACAATTAATTAGCTGAACCACAGTTCCAGTGTTTGTTTTAATGAATATACTTCATAAAAATTTTCCAGGTGATTCTTGATTAGGTTGTTAATAAATTTGTAAGATTTTGATTTTTGAAAAACACCAGTGATTACTAGGTTTATATTTCCTCATAAATTGAATATTTCTATAGAATCCCCTAAAAATCAAAATGCATGTTATAAACAATGCAGCCTATCAATAATATGTTCCCCTTTTTATCCTTGAAGAAATTATGACTCAGAAAGAGCAAGTGACTTGGTAAGCATGGGCAGAATTACGATGACCAGACATTATTAAGTTCTGCAAATATATTGGAAGATGTCCAACCTTGTGTCATCTCATGACAATTTCTTAGAAATCTGATGGGTTGCTTGTAATACCAGAAAGGGAGAGGAAAAGGTAAGATAAGAAAGACAAGAAGAGCAAAAGGCTGTACTCTAAATACTACTTTCTAATGTCCATATGCTAAATGATGTCATGCTTAGCAGTTTTCTTATTAGATATTTTAAAGAGCTTTAAAACTGCAAGTTACTCATATATGCGATCAGCATTGTTTTGTAGATAACTTGAGGTTTAGAAATATGTTAAATGTTGCTCTAACTGCTATCTTTGCTGGCTGTTAGTATATCATTTGTCTGCTTTGAATGCTCTAATGATGTTGAAAGCTTTTGCGTATTTTAAAGCAACTCTGTGTAATCATTAACATAAGAGTTTGTTGTTGCTATTGCTGATTTAATAAATGCACGGTTCATTTGCTTTGCAGAAAGCTATTTTGAGTGCATGCTAAGCAACCTGCATTTTTTAATAAGCAGTCTAGAAAAGTGTTGTTCATTACAACCCTGGTGACCTGGTTCCTGGCTCTTCATTGGAAGGTCTTACTCCTTTGTTATGTTTCTTACATTCTTATTTCCTTTCTACATTTTTTGTAGGATACCAAGGCTGATGGTTTTATATATCTTCCTGAATTCCGAATTGACTTAGCTCCACACTGCAGAAGAAACCAGTAAGTAATAATAGATACTTAAATTAAAAGTCCAGGTCCACATTGTACAATAAAAATATAATGCTGGATCTGTTTATAATTTTAACTTTGCTACTTCTTGTCCTTCAGACTACTCATGTTCCAAACTTATGCTCCGATGGAATTTATAACTTAATAGATTAGCACAATAGTTCCAGTATTTTCCAATTTTATACAATTTTAGCTCATTTTTCACCATTAGTTTTTCTGTAATATATTTTTCTTATGGAGGAAAATTATAATATGGGTTTTTCCTCCACTCTTTATGTAACTTACTATATTACAATCATGTACTACTTCACAACATTCAAGTGATACATTCTTATAAGCAAATTCCCATATTTAAACAATATGTTCATACAATCATTTGCAAGCCCAGAAGATTTTTTTTCTTTTGTTTTGACATCATATAGCCAAATTAGCTCTGTGTCCGCCAAAGAGTTACAGGCAATCAGATAATAGTCCAAAAAGAAGTATACTGCAATCTCTTTCTGATCTGGCAACAGATACTGGATATTCTACATATTCTAGAATATATTGGATGAATTAGATTAGTTGCTCTTCCAGATTTTGAAGAAAATGTCATTATAAAGACTTAGAACAAAATCTACCACCAGCATAAGTGTCAGAAAAAAAGCTGGTTGTCCACTTCGGTTATTATATGAATGCTGTAAATTTAACTTGTTGAAGGATGCTCATGTAGAGCTGGAAGATATTGAAAGGATATGTACCTACAAACTATTAGATGTCATACTTCCTATATAGATTTTTATAGTACGATATGTGCCTTTAACTTACATTAAAAGAGATCAAATGACACTTTACAAAGTCTAAGGTAGAGAAATAAATCCAAAGAGATAAAAATGGATTATATTGAGAGTTTGAATAAATTAGTGTTCTCTAGTTAGTGGTAAGAAGAGTGATGTAATTATTTAAATGTAGTGGTTTAAATTGTATGAAAACATAATTGAAACATTGGAAAGAAAATTAGAAAAATGTGTGTTTACATTGAAGGCAAGCTTAAATTATCAAGACATTGATAAATGGTCAGAATTGGCTACTTAAGGAAGGTGATATAGTTTCCTTTAATACCTAAACTGTCTCCTATAGAGTTTAGATATTCAAAACTAAATTAAGAAGTAGAAAGAAATTGTTCTCTTGAATGGATTTGAATTATAAGATTGTGTAGGATTTTGTTAGTGCAGGCTTGTGAGTATATCTAGACAATTCCTAAGTGTCTGAGAGTGCGCTAGAAGAAAGCATAACGTTTCCACATCTAGCCTTGATTCACAATAATGATTTATCTACAACTAACAGAGATGAGGGCAGAATATCAGTTTTGAATTAAAAGAGAATTAAGCTATTCTTACATCATCTAGAGGTAATCCACTAAATGATAAAAAGAACATTTATATAGATCATATCTCAGTCTACTTCCAAATGTATATTGTTGTCAGATACTCCCTGAACTGGACAGTTTTAACTCCATTACTAAGAAAAAAAAGGTAGATTCTGACATATAGGGAAATATATCAGAATGTATTGCTCGTTTGCTCATTTGTTGACAAAGTTTGTGGCTATATAGGTAACTCTGGCTTCAAACGTGCCATATAACCTAGTCTGGCCTTGAATAGAGATCCTCCCACTTCAGCTTCCTGAATGCTAGAATTATAGGCATGCATGACCACTCTAGCTCATATTACATTGTTCATAGTATTTCTTATCTACTCATTGCCTATTGTTTTTTTTGTTGGTTTGGGGGGTTGTTTTGTTTTTATGGTCATTTGAGGGGCTTAAACTGAGATTATAGAAGACTATGTTTATGTGATTAGCCAGTGCACTAGAAGCAAGATTCTGGAGAATATTGTTTGTAAATGTGCATATTAAATAGGTTTTTCCTGTAAACGCAAACTACAGATGTATTTCTATCACAATATTGTTGCATACAAATTATTTGTTCCTGAAACTGTTTTTGATTCTTTAAGTAGTTATTTTACGAAAAAGCTAGATTTCAAAAGAACTAGAATTAAACTAGATAAGTGAGTAAAGTAGGTGAGAGCTAACAATGGGCCTGGGCAACTGTCATTCTTTGAAAGTGTTACAGATGCTTACCATTCTCTCTCTGATTGGACCCATGTAAACCAAGAACAAGTTAAAATCATTTTCTTTTTCTTTCTTTGTTTCTTTTTTTTGCGGGGTGGGGGGGAGTCAGGTCGTGGGGCCTGAACTCTGGGCCTGGGCACTGTCCCTCAGCTCTTCAGCTCAAGGCTAGCACTCTACCACTTGAGCCACAG